TGTGGGGGGGGGGGGGGGGGCGCTGCAGATCTTCTACTTCATAGGCTTTGGGTTCTTCTGCTTGGAGTCGCTGATCAGTATATGGGTTATTCAGGTTCCAAAGTCCAAACCCCTATTTCTGTTTTGAATTGGCTCGATTCGGTAAGAGTATTTGGTGTAATATGTGCGAGTATGTGCAGCAAGTGTACATGTACTTCCGAGGGAGTGGGAAAGCTGTGGAGATGAAGCGTGAAGCGACTAGAAGGGCAATGATGGCGGCGGTATGACAGCACCGAACATCAACTTACAACAAAAACTGCAAAGTCCTAATTGCGGATATGGCTCCTTTTTTTGGTTTGGCACTTGGGAAGGCTTGGGCCACCGTGAATTATTATTAGTAGGGATAAATATACAAAAGCTTTTTTTGCCGGATACTGTCGCCCAGTGGGTTGGATTGGATGTATGATACGAAAGGTTTTCAAGTGGATTGGGCGCCGGCATTTTGCAGGTGTAAGAGATGTTTATGATGAAAAGGGAGGGGCCCTATCTCTGTTCAAAACAAGGTAGCTGAGCGCACTCACAATTCCCTTACCACGAAGGAAAGAGATTACAAACCACGGCGTAAGGTCTTCTCTGCTTTGATTGGGAGATATGGAGAGGGGTTGAAACCTAAATGAGGTTGTTGTATGGTTCCTACGATTAATGGATTTGCTGAGAAAAAGCCTCTTCAGTACTTTCCGTACGATGTTCAATTATCCTGACTTGGCTTATAGCAAGGTGGGTTGTCTTGAAAAAGCCTCATGCCACGCACAGATGCAATGAGAAGACATACCGGGCCGCCCAAAATCCCCGAAACCCCGGGGTTGAAATTATAACGTCACAAATAATCGATGTCGCAATTCCCCTCCCTCCCGCAGTGTCATCTTCCCTCTCGCTTGCTCCTCCCTCCATATCTCCATCGATCTTCTGCTTCCTATGCTGTTGATGTTGGTACGTATGCTTTCGAAATAACTTGACTGTGGCAAGAAAAAAAATCCATTTTTTCAGCTTTATCCATGTAGATATATAACACCGAACAGGGAGAGGGTAGAGTTTCTTTCTGTGACTTGTAGGATCCGTTTCAATTCAATTTCATCTTCGATTCTCCAAGACACCCACTTGGAACAGGGCTTCTAATCGGGTCTTCTGTCGGTCTGAAACCGGGCTTCGATACCGGTGAGCTTCTCGGCTCCCGTCTTGAACTCTGAACTCCTCCTTCTCCTCTCAGCTCACAAGCACCTCAAGGACGACAGCATCGACAAGATGAAGGACGATCTCAGAGTTAAATTCAACGTCATATGGGCATCTCTCGGTGTTTCCAATAGAAATATCGTGTGCTGGGGATTATCCCTTGCGATCTTGAGTTCTGACTGAGGCCTTTCCCATCTGGGTTTTCGCTGTTTTGATCTGGATTTGTTTTGTTTCTTCTAGGATTTCAATAATCTCGTTTCAGCTCAACTTCGTAAGGTGAAACTGTTTCATTTCTCTGCACTGCATTCTTCCTGTTACATATGTGCTATTCTGCTATGCATCTTTGAACTCATTTTAGTTTTTTCTTTTCTGTTATTTATGTCTTGTTGTGTTTTTTCTTAGTGGAGTTTTGTTGTTTTGTTCTTTTGTGGACCTGTTAAATTGTGGCCACAAGAGCCTTGGATAATGCATCTTCTTTGAGCCATTACATACATGTAGACGCACACATCTGTATGCGTATAAATGTCTATATGCATATATGTACGCGTAATCTCTTCTACTGCAGCTTGTGAGCAGGCCAGGTGAAGGAAATGTTGAGACAATTGCTTGGATGTTGCAAAGTATATATCTCGGAGGGCCGAAATAAGATGGCACTTGAAGCCATAGAGAGGGCTGCAAAGCTTTTCCCACCGGCTGCTATTGTAAACAAGTTTGAAGATGTGAGCTATGGCAGGGTGGGTTACACTGTGGTCTCGAGACTCGCTCACGAGCCGGATCCAGATTCATCTTCACTCAAGAATGCTGCCTTTGCAATGGTAAAGGCTGCACTGGACACAATCGATCTTGAGTTGCATAGCGGATCCCATCCTAGGCTTGGAGTGGTTGATCATATATGTTTTCACCCCTTGGGTCAAACCTCGATGGAAGAAGTGGCTGCGATTGCCAAGTCCTTGGCAATTGACATAGGCTCAGTTCTCCAAGGTTAGTACTTTTAAGGCTTTTTGTTAATTTGGGATATGAAAAAAGTATGTCTGGTGACATATGGGGATGGGCAAAGGGCAGTTCCTACGTATCTATATGGAGCTGCGGACGAAGGGCATAGGACGCTGGACTTCATAAGAAGAGAGCTAGGGTACTTCAAGCCTAACGCGGGGGGACACCAATGGGAAGGGGGGTTGGAGGTAGAGACGCTGCCGGTGAAGCCAGACGCAGGGACCTCGCAAGTGGAGAAATCAAAGGGAGTAGTGATGGTGGGGGTGTGTGGTTGGGTGGGTAACTACAATGTGCCAGTGTTGTCGGGGGACATGAGGGCAGTGCGGAGAATGGCGAGAAGGGTGAGCGAGAGAGGAGGAGGGCTAGCTCGGGTGCAGGCCATGGCGCTGGTGCATGGGGAAGGGGTAACCGAAGTGGCGTGTAACTTGTTGGAACCAAGTGAGGTCGGAGGAGACAAGGTGCAACAAGAGATGGAGAGGCTTGGGAGAGAAGAAGGTCTGCGTGTGGGGAAGGGCTATTACACGGATCATACGCCTCAACAGATTGCTGAAAACTATATCAAGTTGATGGGCCTTTGACTTTTGACCTGAGAGTTTTTCTTTCCATATCTCGAGACTCCAGCTTGCCAAAGCCAAGTCACCGAAAGGGCATTCGGTATGTACTCTTCCCTCTCTCTCATGGGAGTGAAAAAATGGTTGGAGAGAGATGAAAAGGAGTTGCACATTGATGGGTCACTTTAGTTGATTGATTGCATTTAATAACAAGCATATGCTACTATCGGGACATATCATGTGATATTCGAGCTCAAATGACCAATGGTGAAAGCCCGTTTTCACCGTTACCCTTGGTGAAAAGGTAGTAGGAAGAATAGCAAATGTGCATTTTGATCAGATTTTAAGTTTTTTTTTCATCTGAATCTGCAATGACGGCGCTCACACGAATCAAGCAGCCTGAACAGAAGAGATCGATATAGTAACGAAGTATTTAATTGAGTTTATCACATTAGTATGATATATTTGAGGGGAAACTGCGTTTTGTAAAAATCAATGCTTAATGGCTCGTCCATTTGAACTTTCTTGGATTCCCTCCGCCGTCACTCCACCCTCCTCGTATTCAACGTCTCTAAGCCCCTTTCCTCTCTCTCTCTCTCTGGAAAAAAATTGTTGTTGTTATACGTAGACATAGATATTGTTCTATATACATATATATATATATATATAGAGAGAGAGAGAGAGAGAGAGGAAAGGGTTACATTACATGATGAATTCTGGAGGGTCAGAGAGTACTTGGCTGCACCCACACGCGGAGGCATTACCTGTGTCGGACTATCAAACATAGGAATGGGAATGGGAATGTTTTTATTTAAAGTCAATTGGCCAAGTCTGAATGGCACGAAGACCGACTATCTCCGGAGACAGGGAAGATCAGTCGCACACCATTCAGGAGAGAGAGAGAGGGAGAGAGATGTTTAAGGGTATGACTGGTGGTAACGCAATCGCCCGCAATCGCAGCGATTGCGACTTCTGGCGATTACGGGTGATTGAAAAAGTGATTGTTGGAATCGTAATCGCCGCAATCGCAATAAAACATCAATATTCTAATCGCAGCTAAAAGATTACGTTACGATAGCGTTTTGTAGCGTTTTGATTAAATGACCAAAATACCCCTAATATTAATTAGTATATATATACATACATATCATATTATATATATAAAGAACTTACGTATATGTATATATATAAAATATATAAATACATATATATATAATACATATATATATACATACACACATACATACATATATATATACAAACATACATATATATACACAAACAATCATATATACATACATACATCTATATACACATAAACATATATACATATATACACACATACATACATATATATATACATGCATACATATATACACATATACATATATAAATATATACATACGTACATATACATATATATACACATACATATACATACATGCATACATATACACATATATATATACATACATACACATATATATATATATACACATATACATATATATATATACATATACATACACATATATATATATACATATATATATATATATATATATATATATACGTACTACATATATACATAACAAAATTAAAAAAAATATATTAATAATTTTGTTTGGTATATATTATGTTTGATATTGTTTGGTTTTACTAATAAATATTTTTAATATTAAAATTATCTTTGAAAATAAATTAAATTTGATAACAAAATAATATTTTCAATTTTATAATTAATTATTTATAAATTTAATAATTATCTGATATTAAATAATAGTAAAAAAACTAATTGAAAATATTTTAAAAATGTTTAGTATTGTATATAATGATGTATTTTTTTGTAATTTAAATCAAATCGCAATCGCAATCGCTGTCAATCAATCGTTCTGAATCGCAATCACTCGCAATCGCTATCAACAACAGTTTTTTTACCAGTCAGTATCAATCGTCTAGAATCACCAGCAAACGCATCGTAAACACCCGCAATCACCGCGATTGCGATTGCGATTCCACCAGTCAACACCTAAACCAAACAGAAAATGGAACATGAAGATCTCAAACTAACTGAAACCCACAAGCAGAGTGAAAATCCTAAAACTCGCGTCTTTAAACTCGTTCCTCTCGTGTCTTGTCATGCATATATACCCACCCACCGTCTCTCTTCTCTCTTGCACCACAACCTCTCTCTCTCTCTCTCTCTCTCTCTATATATATATATATATATATATATATATATATATATATATATATATGCATATTTTAGTGTAAATCATTATACATCTATTCACAATTCCCATGCCCCACGACCTTTTTTTTTGGGCCAGCTAATTCGCATCCGCCAATTTAAAACAGAATCGTTTCATTCTCTCTCTCCCCCCATTTGTATACCCTCATACCAAAGCGTTCTCTTTTCTCTCTCTTCTTTCGGAAAGGAAAAGCTTGAGGCTTTCGACTTAGATCTCACCCCCCAAAGAGACTTCTTTTGAGATGCGTGCTCGTTTAGGGGTTTTCTGGGTCTTTCCTTTTATACCCTAAAACGAGGCCTTTTCTACGCTTCATCATATCTCTTTTACAGATCCAGGGATAAGTGGCGAGACATGGCGAATGGAAAAGAGAGACAATGCGGGTCAGCACTATTTAGCCTGGAGGAGATCGGAGAGATAAGTGGGGTCAAGGTTGGGGGAGATTACGTAGAAGTTATGTGCGGCTGTACAAGCCACCGGTACGGCGATGCTGTTGGTAGACTTAGGGTTTTTTCTAACGGCGATCTCGAAATCACCTGCGAATGCACTCCCGGTTGCGACGAAGGTCTATCTCTGCCTTTTTTTTCTTCTTCTTCTTCTTTTTCCCGTCTAAATCACGTATGTTGATGCCTTCGCCAAAAGGGTTTTGATTTTATATGCATGTTACATGTGAATGTGTGAGATTGACGTTGATGCCTCTCTCCTTCAACATCTTTTTCTTCGCTGATATTATATCAAGTGGACTGCGGGTGAGCCGTGTAAAGTAATGCAACTTGTTTGTTGGCTGCTTCTTTTTCATATATACACATATATATACAAATCTTCGTCTGTAATCCTCTTTATGATGATTTGTATCTTGCTTTGCCTGGTTTCCTTTGCCATCACTCCCAAGCTTTGTCCTTTTTTTTTTATATGTTGCGGTGTCCTCCTCATTGAGCATCGCCACTGCCCTTTTATTCTCTTCATTTTCATGTAGAAGTCAAGAGAAACCTATGACATTGTCCTCGATCGTCTCCGTTAGATTTCCTCCTTTTTTATATATAGCATTCATCTTTACGATGATTCTTGTGTGTGGTATAAGATATTGTATGTCGTGAAAGTGTTCCTTTCACAGAAGGGAACTTGAGTTGCCAACTAGATGTCGTCTGTTTTCCACTATCACTGCAGTCCCCTTTTTCCCTGTCGACAGTT